GGAAAGTGCTTCAATGTCTGTGTATGTCAAGTTTCCTTGAAGCCAAAATAAGAACGTGCGAATGTTATACCACACAAAGGTTTCTGTTTATTTGTATGTTTGTGTTATTATTATTATTATTATTATTATTATTATTATTATTATTATTTTAGCCTGGACCTGCTTTATTGTGCACCTGTAGCATTCTCTGACCGCATGAGCCACAGCCACACCTTAAGCTGCTAAGTGGCAGCTAAGCACTCTGCCTTAAGGCTCTGGCTGTTGGCTCTGCCCCCCTTTCTGGTCCATGAGAGCCAACTCTTAAGCCCCTGGGCCTGCTGAGAGCTGTGTTTAACTGGGAGCTGAGATTAACCAAAAGCTTCATTTAATGGCCCCAGCTCTAGGAAGTTGGTTCCCACTGTGGCAGTCATTTTTACTTAGCTTGCATTTCTACTTAGCTTGTCAGCTATTCAAGTGCTGTGCCACACAGAAGAGCCTCTTAAAGAAGCCGCATCTATTATCTTTCTCTCCCACCCACATTCTTTCAGTTTTCTCAGGCCCTATGTGGATATTCAGGCCCCACATTGGGCACCATTGGTCTTTGCTTGCTTTTTTTTTTTTTTGAGCTGCCAACCAGCTCCCAAATAAAGACACAGAGACTTATCATTAATTATGCATGCTCAAACTTAACTTAGGTTTGTCCTACCAGCTTTGTTCTTAACTTAATTTACCCTGTTTCTACTAACTTAGCCTCTGGACTTTGTACCTTGCTTTCGTTCTGTATGTCCTACTTTCCTGCTCCCTTGTGTCTGTCTAGCTGGCCCCTGGCATCTCTCGGGTGTCTCTATTTCTTTCTTCTTCCCTTTTCAAGCCTAAATTCCTCCTCCTATTTACATTCCCTGCCAGGAAGTCCCAGCTATACCTCTTCCCTCACTATTGGCCATTCAGCTGTTTATTAGACCAATCAGATCCCTTAGGCAGGCAAGGTAAAATAGCATCACATCTTGACATAGTGAAACAAGTATTCCATCACATAAAAAAATGCAACACATCTTTGCATAGTTAAACAAATATTCCTCAACAGTGGAAGACATACTGGGCTTCAAAGACTGGATTCTAAAAAAAAAATGAAAAAAATACATAATATTAAAAATTTAACAAAGATTATTTATTGAAATGACAACATTTTGGGCACACAGTTAAATTATACATCAGAATAAGTTTTATCTGTGTCTCCATGTTTCTTTAGCTTAGGGAATATAAAGGCTTGCGTGCAACTCTCATTTCACTTCTCTTAGATAAGTTGGCTCTACAAGGTCAATCCTTGCAGCTAGGGCTTTCCCCCCCACACACACACACACCTTTCCTCATCAAGGGACTGTTAACTGATTGTCTTAGAGTAAGAATAACTGTGTTATATCTGATCAATACAGTAAATGGCATCATGTACTCTGCCTTGATTTACAGACCAAGGCAACTGAATTCCCATTCACCAATACATTCACTACGCACACACGCATGTGCACACACAAACAGACACACACACACCAACACCAACACCACTACCACCAACATAGTTTTTCCATTTTTACAAACATTTTAATTAGTGTTAAGAATGTTAAGTTTAATACCAATAATGTGGATTTATATTTATAGTTCTTTCCAAGGTGTTCAATAATGAAGACTAAAATATGTGTTGTTAAACTAAACACTAAACACCTTGCCTCATCTTTGAAAACTAGTGTCAGAGGTCCCCAGATCCAGAGGGAGAGGATATTCTTAGAGCCCTCTGGAGATTCTGACTTAGTCTTTCCAGGAGGTCATAGCTGCCAGTGTCAGAATGGAGACAATGAATATATCACGTAAGTAAATGCATAATTATTATGATAAGTGTTGAAAAAGAATGACAGGATGGAATTAGGGGTTCTACAAGATAAAAATAAAGTATAAATTATGATATAAAAACTTGAACTCTGGCAGTTTAGATGATCTTAATTATATTTTAAGATGTTGGGAGGGAGAAATCCTATAATTTAAGCCTAGGCATATAGCTTGGTAGCAGAGAGCTTTCCTAGCATGTATAAGGCCATAGGTTGGGAATCCAGCAGTGTTATGAACAAAACAAAACTATGGTGTATCTTTTAGATACCTTGTAGATAAGATGGGTAGCTTATTTTTATATTACACTATTTCTCTTATATAAACATGTTTTCATAAGGGAGAATCTAAATGAAAATTCTAACTCTTATACCACCAGAATATTCATTCTGGTCTCTTTCTGCAATGATCCATCTATCTTGTAGCACTAATAATAAAAGTCAGAGATAGATATTGGAGTTTAACCTGAAAACCAGGAAAATAAAGCAGCCCAGCCACTAGAGGAGTCTTACCTCTACCAAGGCTAGGTGACCACAGACTAAGCAGACAGACTCTCTATTCTACATTCCCTGTAGTGCTGGGATTAAGGAGTATGACTCCCTAGGTCAGGGATTAAAGGTGTGAGCCACCACCTCCTGGATTTATTTCTGCATTGATTTCGTGTTGCCCAGAATGGCCTTGAACTCACAGAGATCCATCTGACTCTCGTCTCCCAATTCCTGGAATTAAAATTATGTGTCTCCACTGCCTGACGTCTAGAGGCTTTAGCTTTGCCTCTAGGGTTCAGGGAAACTTTATTTATCAAAATACAAATAATATAGCACTATCTGAACATATTAATCATTTTTTAAAATACAGGAAGTGAAAAGCCTCCCTGGTCTCTTTAAAATTGAAAACAGTTCTGTAAACTGCACCAAAGGCAGATGGATCAGGTTTCAAAACGAAGGCTGCATATATACATGCTCATTTGAGAAGATGAGGCAGATTCTTTCTCATGGGGAGAAGAGAATAACACACTCCAATTCCAGAAGCTCTATTTGAATCAGCTCTAAACACAGTGTGGAGCAGAGCAGTCATCAGCATGCCATGAGGGACGGTTTCACCGTGACCACTGGGAAGGATTTCAGTGCTCAACTGTCTGCTCATCTAAGTCCCTGTCTGACAGACAAAGCCACAGCATTCCGGTGGCTCAAGGACCTCAGAGTGAGAGTGTCTGACAGAACTGTCTCCAGACTCCTCCCCAGGACTCCCTGGACCATCAAGCCCAAGCTAACCAAACACCATCAGCCAAGAGCCTGCAATGCTCTGCAAACCGCAGGCCTGAGATACCTTTCTCAGGTATTCTCTCAGTGATAAAGGAAAGGCAGGTGGTTTTAGATTTAAAAAAAAAAAGGGGGGGCTGCATCTGCTTGCACTCCCACCAGCAATGCAGGAGTGTTCCCTTTACCCCACAACCTCTCCAGCATAAGTTGTCATCAGTGTTTTTGATCTTGGCCATTCTTACAGGTGTAAGATGGAATCTCAGAGTTGTTTTGATTTGCATTTCCCTGACGACTAAGAATGTTGAGCATTTCCTTAAGTGTCTTTCAGCCACTTTAGATTCCTCTGTTGAGTTCTCTGTTTAGGTCTCTACTCCATTTTTTTTATTGGATTATTTGTTCTTTTGATGACTAACTTCTTGACTTCTTGTATATATTGGAGATCAGACCTCTGTTTGATGTGGGGTTGGTGAAGATCTTTTTCCATTCTGTAGGCTGTCATTTTGTCTTGTTGACTGTGTCCTTTGATTTACAGAAGCTTTTCAGTTTCAGGAGGTCCCATTTATTAATTGTTTCTCTCAGTGTCTGTGCTACAGAGGTTATATTTAGGAAGTGGTCTTCTGTAACAATGTATTCAAGTGTACTTCCCACTTTCTCTTCTACAAGGTTCAGTGTGGTTAGCTTTATGTTGAGGTCTTTGATTTATTTAGACTTGAGTGTTGTGCATGGTTATAGATATGAATCTATTTTCCTTTTTCTACATGTTGATATTCAGTAATGCCAGCACCATTTGTTAAATATGCTTTCAGGAGTGCAAGCTGGTACAGTCCCTTTGGATATCAGTATGGCGATTTCTCAGAAAATTAGGAAACAACCTTCCTCAAGACCCAGCAATACCACTTTAGGTATATACCCAAAGGATGCTCAATTGTGCCACTAGAATATGTGCTCAACTATGTTCATAGCAGCATTATTTGTCATAGCCAGAACCTGGAAACAAACTAAATGCCCCTTGACCAAAGAATGGATAAGGAAAACGTGGTACATTTACACAACGGAGTACTACACAGCAGAAAAAAAAATGACATCTTGAAATTGTCAGGCAAATGGATGGAGCTAGAAAACATCATTTTGAGTGAGGTAACCCAGACTCAGAAAGACAATTATCATATCTACTCACTCATTAGTGGTTTTTAAACATAAAGCAAAGAAAACTGGCCTACAAATCACAATCCCAGAGAACCTAGACAACAATGAGGACCCTAAGGGAGACATATATGGATCTAATCTACATGGGAAGTAGAAAAAGACAAGATCTCCTGAGTAAACTGAGAGCATGGGGACCATGGGAGAGGGCTGAAGGGGAGGGGAGCAAAGAAAAATACATAACTCAAAAAAAATCAATAATTTTCTTTTTTAAAAAGAAAGCAGGTTGGTCAAGCCTCAAGGGACAAGCTAGTAAGCAGCCTTCCTCCATGGCCTCCCCTTTCTACACACACACACACACACACACACACACACACAAGCGCGCGCGCTTACACGCTCACAGTATTTTAACCTCAGCCCCTAAAAAGATTCTCATGGATTGGGGAGATGAGGCAAAGAGAAGATTCTGTGTAGGCCTTCTGTACTGTGGGGACTACCATCAGTGCACCCATCCTCCTGAACTAAAAGGCTTCTACGCTATTCAAGGCTCCCCCTAAAATAAATAATCTTGCTGTGTGGGTATTGCCAAGAGACCCAGTCACGGCTGCATGGCTACAACTTCCCACACATTCAGTGCCATATCTCTATGCTGAAAGAGCATGCAAGACTCCATCTGGAAAAAAAAACAAAAAAACAAAAAAAAAAAAACAACAACAAAAAAAAAACACCTCAGGACAGCGCAATGATTCTACAACACCAGGGAGAGCAAAGGGTACTCTCATGATATTGCTAAGGTCTCTGTTCACTTGGACAAGCAAATTCAAACCCATCAGAGCTACTAGTTAAAAATGACTGTGCTGAAATTGAAATTAACACCAAGCCATTATCTCCGTATATTGTGAAAGCATCAAGAACCGAAAAGCAACCAGCAGGTGAAACGTATTTCATAAGCTTCCGGTCCGTGCTGAGCATCAGAAGGCAGACGCAGGCTCATGCTCACCTTCTTCTACCCATGTTAGCAGGCCGCCCCACTTTCTGTATGAGATGTTCTCATTGTCTCACAAGCTGCCCTCATACACACAGGTGTGTGCTCTTCAAAATGCTAAAAGGAGCTTTAAATACCAGTGTTCGTGGGTCTAGGACCACACTCAGCCTTATCCCCAACAGCAGTCTCTACACCAAAGGTAGCTGTCCAAACTTTGTTTAATAAATAAGGATGCAGCTTTCCAACTTGGGCCTGGCAGAATGGCTCCCACAAAGAAGGGTGGCGAGAAGAAGAAGGGCTGTTCTGCCATCAACGAGGTGGTGACCCGAGAATACACCATCAACATTCACAAGCGCATCCATGGCGTGGGCTTCAAGAAGCGTGCTCCTAGGGCACTCAAAGAAATCTGGAAATTTGCCATGAAGGAGATGGGGACTCCAGATGTGCGGATTGATACCAGGCTCAATAAAGCTGTCTGGACCAAAGGAATAAAGAATGTTCCATATCGTATCCGGGTACGTTTGTCCAGAAAACATAACGAGGATGAGGACTCACCAAACAAACTCTACACATTGGTAACTTACATGCCTGTTACCACATTCAAAAATCTACAGACAGTCAATGTGGATGAGAACTAACCTACTGAATCTCAAATAAAGTTGGAGAACAGCTAAAAATAAATAAATAAATAAATAAATAAGGATGCAAGGATTATCAGGGACCATTTCTTTGCCTGGTGCCACACTGCAAATATTCATGGCCTGTCGACTATTCATCTCCCATAAAGCCTAGCTGCCACACTGGCTTGTCATCTGCCAAGAAATAAATCAGTACCTACCAGGGAGCACGCCCTAATTTACAGGTGCTCATGTTAAATTCTTTTAATGCCCTCAACAACCCCGTGGGATAGTTTTAACCAATACTTTATAGCATATAAAAGTGTTAGTGTTGATTATGTGCCCATAAAACAGCTTCCCACAGGACTGACATGTTATTCCCTTCACATGATGTCAGGCAGTGAAGAACTCTAGCAACAACGGCAAGGATGGGCTTCCGGGTTTGTCCTTCCATCTGCACAACGACTCACTCTGGGCCTGAAACATCATGTCTCTTCAAAGCAGGGACTCAAAGAACTCAAGTGAAAACCAGTTTCTTCAGGGGCTATAGCGGTGTGAACCAGCTAGAGATGCCCCTGCCACAAAGGGGCAGTGATTTGCATTAAACTCCTCTCCGGTTCTCTTTAACATGCCCAACAGGCAGCGGTAGATCAGAAAGCCATAATCACAATTTCAGTCTTGAAATTACACTGTCCTCCTTCCCCAGGGAGATGGAAGGAAAAGCACAGGCAGCAGGCCCTGGGCACCAGCAAAGGACACCTCTGCACACCTCAGGGTGTCAGGGCGGCTTCCTTCTGCTCTCAGTGGGCATCGGGGAGGAGTCGATGAATACAGACACCTCCGTACGCCTGGAAGCTGGGTGTTGTGGGGAATCCAAGTGCCCTTTATCAACCCAGGATTTGCCTTCTTTTGTCTCACATCGGGGAAGATTTGGGGGCATGTGGAGATAATGACATCAGGAGACAGAACAGAAAGTAAGCTAAACCAGGCAAGGGTGTGTGGCTGCATCCTTTAAAGGCAGACAGTCACACAGGTGCTAGAAAAGACAGGAGTGGGAACTGTATTATGAAGTGGCATCTATTACTTGTATCATCTCCCAATGCCCTCCTCCACCTCTCATTCCCCAGAAATCACTACCCTAGTTAATACTGCAATTAATTCTCCCTGGACAATTAACTTTTTTAAAGTATCAGTTAAGCTAGCTTACAAATCATCATTAATAAACTCCTCATGGAAACGATATACTCGCTAATAGTGCCGGTTAAATTTACCGTCACCCAGTGTATAGAGGGAAGACTCCTATTGCTGTCCGCACACTGGCGTCTAATGGTTGCTTCACACACAAATCAAAGAGACAAATTTAAACAGGAATGTTTCCAAGCATACCTGCAGTAGAGTTGGCAGTCAGCAAAGATGCTATTTCTCTGAAATGAAAAAGAGGCTCCCTGCAAAACTCCCTTTCAGGAAAGACATTACTACTGTAATAGACGACCCCCAAAACAAGCAGCTCCCCAAAACATCTAGCCACTTCCATCCCAAGCCTTAGGAACAGACTGGGCTGTCACCATCTAAAGTAAATGCAACTCAATATAAACTGTGATGTTAAAACTTCTATCAAAATTTATAATAAGAAATTGATCTACCAGATCTTTATATTCTTATTTCTTAAAAGTATGGCTCTCTGACATACAAAAGAAAACAAAAGAGACTAAAAATGATTGTGTGGTAAATTTTACGAACCAGTAAGTGCACTTCTCAACTTAGAAGGGTACAGAGAGCCTGGATGGTCTAAGGCTAACAAGGTCTTTAACGAGAAGCAGAAAAGCAAGGGGAAGCAGCTGAGCCAGATGGGCACTTGATTCTGCTGTCAACACATCAACAGCGCCTTTCATCCTTGTGTCTGTGGTCTTTACCTTAGAAACAACTTATCACCCAATCAATCTCCCCAAGTAAAACAACCCTTTCTTTGGTAGCAGAAGTACCGGTCTGCTATACTTTGAGTTATGAGTCAGCACACTGAAAACAGGGCAGTAATAATCAATCAGGGATGGGCTCGGGGGAGTTTCTGTTCTGACACAGCGGCAAGCCTTCCAAGATAGACCAAAGGTTGCGGAACATGAGGCTGCCAAAAGCATTGCTTCCTCAGGGAACATCTAAACACAGAAAGCCTTTAAAACAGTGGTTCTCAGCCTTCCTAACACTGTGACCCTTTCATACAGTTCCTCATACTGTGGTGATTCCCAACCATGAAATTATTTCATTGCTACTTCATAACTGTAATTCGGCTACTGTTATAAATTGTGATGCAAATGTTTGATATGCAGGATACTTGGCAAGTGACTCCAGAAGGGGCTGTGGCCCACTAATTAAAGATCACATTGCTTTAAAGGCTCTGTGTAAACGGATGAGAAGAATCAGGGCTATTCCACTGGCCATTGATATTCCTTGTATATACCAAATAGGTTCTGAATAATGTGTTTTAGCAACATGCTTATTGGGGACTCCTTTTGCTATTCTGATCAGCATTGGTCACAATGACCACACAAGTGTATATAGGGATAGAAGTTTCCAAAGGTCACCTCCAGGCCTTAGATGGCAGCACCTTACAACCTCTCATCATTGGGTGGGTGTCCTAAGTCACAAGGGCAGAGAGTTTTGCCCTGCAAAGCTGATTTTTTTTCCCGGTGTAATTCCAGTGATTCTGTGGTGCATTTTAGCATCAAAAACTGTCATACAACCAGGACGCTAAAATGTGTCTTGCAGGAAACATATTGCTTTTCGTATGCCTGACAGCTCAAATGTTTCCACACGCCACAATTATTGCAGAGTGTGAGGATCAATCAGCAAGCATCAAAGGGAAAGTCATAAGTGCAAGAAATGCAAATATGATCTCCACCCCTCTGCTCCAAGTCTACAAAAATAAACTATTTGCTGCTATAGTAAAATATGTATTTTTGTATTAATATATATGTACATACACGCATACATACAATTGTATTTAGATAAATAAAATGATAGAGCACAACTTGAGAAAAGTACTGGGCTTCAGTTAACATATGACAAATTTTAAATAATCTAAGGAGACTTCATAACACTGAAAAATAGAAATTCGCCTTCTTCAAGCATGGTACCTTTGAGTACAGCCTAGAAGAGCGAATCAATGAGTCCACAGAAATACCAGCAGAGTCAAGCCCTAATGAGCTCTGGGGTTCCCACATTTAAGTAGGACGACCACTTACTGTCCCCTCTTACAGTGACTCCTTATTCTAAGAGGGGAAAATAGTTGATTGTGTGACTATCACACAAACACAGTTGATAATTATGCATTTATTTGTTTACTCAAGGAACGACTGTCCCTCATACTTCACTGTAAAGTCCCATGAGGTCAGAGAAGGTGAAGCTGTGCCCCCCCCCCCACTCAGCAGCTCTCATTGCATACAGTGGGCACTCAGTACGCTGGAAGGTAAACTGACTGAGATCATGAACAAACTGACTTGTCTTTAGGTTCCCAGGCCTTATTACACACATACATCATTCAAAAAAAAAAAAAAAAACCTTCCTTTCAGTCAAGCACATAGACCAAGAAAAAAAACGAAAGAAAAGAGGAAAATTACAACCCTCCTAAAGATCAAATAAGAAAATGAAGTTGAGTGCAGAAACTCTATAATATGCATATGTAAGGAAAACTACATACAATAGGATAACCAGCTTAAAAGGACAGAGCATGAGAAACAACTAGCCACTCTCACATCTATAGATGCATTTGTTAATATCTGAATGCATTAACATAGTGCTAATGACATAAATGTAGGAAACTCTTTTTTAAAATACGTGAGAAAATAATGAATAGGTTTGTTTTTGTGAAATGACTGCATAAGTCAAATTCTAACATATTTTCAAAGCAAAAAATTTATAAATAGTGTTTTATTCTATTAATGTTCAAAGTTATTACAATTTTACAATCATACCCCTATTTTTAGGCTGAAATAGTTTAACAGAAAAATAAATGCTGGCAATAAAAGCAAGCTGAGTTTCAAACTTACGCATGCCAACTCTCAGACTTCCTCCTAACTGCACACGAGGAATACTAAGCCCGAAGCATTTTATATTCCTGCTAGCTACCACTGAGGTACTAGAAGTCACGAGAGACAACAGAAGAAATTAGGCAGCCCCAAGGGAAGTTAATTTGAGGGTTACTCTTTTGAGATCTCCGGTACTTCCCTGACAGTCAGTGGAGACTAGATAGATACTCATTTTGACAGGGAGTTAATACAATCGACAGTGTGTCCATTCCCTTCGGGAAGAAGACAGAATATGGTGATTTAACACAGGTGACAGTGTGACCACTCCCTTTGGGAAGAAGACAGAACATCTATAGAGCAGTGATTCATGTGCCATGTGGGCAGCAGAGAGAAGTGCCTATGGAAACTTCCAGTTTTTCCCTCCCTACCACTCCAGCCTGGAGAACCGCAACTCACCATTCACTGGAGAGCCCTTATTGCCCATCCCTGCTCCTGGGGAAAGCTTTTTCCAATTGTCCACTAAACAGACTGTCTGTGCACTTAACTCTGCAGCCACTCAACATCCGGAATTGTATAGATCAAAATTCTCTGTTCACCTCTTTCTCCTCCACTGGATTCAGAGCTCAGAGAATCCAGAACCTTACCATGTCTCTCCCACATCTCAGGTCAATCACAGTACACATTCTAATGGCGACCAAGGGCAAAGAAGAAGTCAGAAACTATGAGTAATAAAACCATGAAGGCAAAAAGATGGCTGAAAAATTTCCACCAAGCCTGATAGTTCCGGGAATCCACGCAGTAGAAGAAAAGACCTGACTTGCACAAGTTGTTCTCTGACCTCCACATGTGCATGACAGCATGAATGCAGCCACACATGACCTCCACATGACCTCCACATGTGCACAACGGCATGAATGCAGCCCCACTTGAAAGCATAACATTTTTAAAAATAAATACATAAATTTTCAGAGATTTTTAAAATGTTGAAGTGATGGGTGT